TGCTCACAAGAGAAGATAACTCTGCAATATGCAAAGACGGAATTCTTATCATTCAATTTTACAATCAACTATCAAGCAAATAATTCGTTTGTCATCACTCGATATTTGTACATGTCGTTCATTGTATTATTGGGAGAGGGCCGAGTAAGTTGTTAGAACAGAACTTAGGCCCAATCCCTTGACTGTTTAATGTAAATAGAATATGGTTGAATGCAACGAATTTGTTTTAAGACGTTTCCATTAATTAAACTCAATTATTCTACATATAGTGACAGTTTGATAAAAGCAATACGCGATGAGTTACAAATGTTCTTGTAAAGATTTGGTATAGCCATGTGAAGAGGTACATAAACAATCAAGCAGCATATCAATAACTTTCCTGTACATCCCAGTTATAAATCCTCTGGCATGAAAATCTATTAGTGACAATAATCATAATGCAATTTGAAAAAAAAAAATGAAATTAATTTTTTACAACAATACAATACAAAATAGCACATTTAATTTCCCATTAACAAAAAGAACTAACATCAGTCATCCTCTTTGTCTCAAGGTACTTTGTTACATCTCGAGAACATGTTCTACAAAATATATACACCATCACAGCAGGAACGCTTTGGTCTCAACTTGGTGACTAAGTCCAAGCTATTAATAATATATATGTTTATATTAAGTACCAATATATCATTAATATAATGTTTAATAGAATATGAAAGACATAACGTCAACTTTTCATACTGAACAAAAATCAGCTGTTGGTTCTTGTAAACTGTTAGAATTCCCATAAGCATTGCATGTGCAAGTCATAAATTTAAATAATTATGTGGTGACCACATGTTACGACTGAATAATATGATATTGATATTAACTTTTACTCACTTTCTCAGGTTTTCAGAGGATCACCTTCCAGCATAAATCAGTTGTATTTTAAAGACTGCAGACTACAATTTGTATAGTGTTCTTCGATTTAAAACCTTATGCTGCACAATCTATAGCGTACTTTACAATTGTGAATACATTTGAATATAAGTAATATTGCTATCAAAATACTGGATATGCGAAATATTTAGAGCCATTTTAAAATTTGGCTGCTTTGTATATTGATTAAATGTGCATTCAAATTATTTTCTATTTTTCACATGAAATCAACGCCACGCATCGTAACAAGAGTAAAATATTACGTATAATTCTAAAATTCTGCACTAGCACCTACCTCATAATACATGTATTAGATATTACTATTATCTTTTTCTATGACATATTCCAGGTATTACTTGGTAAACAATTTCCCGGTTGTGCCACCAGAATTTATTTTTCTTATCAAAAACATTTAACTTGTCTTTTAATTTAGTAACAGCTCTAAAGTTGTATTTTTTCTTAAATTTGTAACAATTTGTATACGTTAGAGTTACATATCAATGAATATCATGGTTGCGGAATTTATACAAAATAATAACTAGTTAAATACTGTTTTTCTCAGAAGGTTACGTACTGAAAGTTCTGTTATATCTAGAAACTATTGTTTACTGTAACAATTAAGGTTACTATTTGTATTGACACAAAATGCCTAATAAGTCTACATGTCAAGTTCCCAAAGGAAAGTCACATACATCATCATGTATTTTATATTATGTATTTTAATTGAGTTACGTTAGAATATCAAAGATAGACCAGACATATGCATACAAAATTTTCTATTCCAAAAACGGTACTTGCATATTGTATCTACTACACTATAAACATAGCCGGTCAACATAAAGTAATCGCTCTAGATTTTAACAGACTCTTTTTAAGGCAATAGTTTAAAGCGATAACTAAATTAATAACTTGAATCACACCACTTTTGGCAGTGAACAAGATGACAATGCTTTATTGAGATAAAAATGAATACTGTCAACGTCGGTACACTGCGGATTTGGCATTCCTGGTTTTAGCGTCTGAAGATGCACCGTTTCTGCCTTTTACAGAGGCAGATTGTGCATTTCTCACAGTAAAGGACGACCTACTTATACTACGGTTATCCCGACTGGTGTTTTCTTTTTCATCCTTTTTCTCACTCCTTGGTGGTGCCGTTTGAGGTCGTACGACTTTCGGGAACTGAGTCTGGAACCACGCCTCAAAATCTTCTATGCTCATATCAATGATCTTTTCCCGAGCGAACTCCACCGCAGCGCTGATGTCGGGACTACAGATCTCCCATTCCCGAAGAGTTCCGAGTACTTTTATGAATTTCAACATGCTGTGCTGCTGTCCGGATCCTTCCATCTACACACACAAAAATATACAGCATAAACGAAAATCGATAAAGTGAAAATACCCACCCAAAATCCCAAATAGTACTGTATAATTTTCCACTTTGAGGCATACTATTTTAAGTATATTGAACTTATAAACTTGTACAGCAATAGCAATTTGCTACAATCAAAAATGGCGACACAATTACAATTTATGTGATAAATATTGTGTCAAAAAAGTGAAATTTTGGTATTTCGTCAGCGGAAGAAAGAGTTTGGTCTTTTTTGATACTTGTAAAATAAGTTCTGCAAGCAGATGCATGCTCGCTTTTACAACTGATCATAGTTTGTAAAATTTTATAAAATCCCGTTACATAAGACCAAAACGAGATTTGAACGTAATTTTAACCTTAGAAGAGTACATCCTTAACTGACATCACTATTTATAGGGAATTTGTTACTGACATTATCCTTTACAGATTATAAATCAAGTGACAATGTCCTTTAAAGATGATAGTAAATTGACAGTATCTTTCATGGACAATATTAAACTTATATTACTTACAAAATCAACATTATCTTTAAATATGTTTTTAACTAATATTATCTTTAATGGGTGATACTTAACTGACACTTTCCTGAATAGATGATATAAAGCTGACATTATCCTTTTGTTATGATGTTAAACTGACAGGTTTTATAGATTGAATTTAACCAATATAATCGTATATATAATCATTTTTAACTTATGTAGTCTTCTATTGGTAGTACAATGTATTAAACATTACTTTTCATAGATATTTATTGATGTTTTGTTACAGATACGATCCTTTAGTAATATTGAACAGACTTGATTCTTTATAGATAATGATAGTCTTTAGCCTATCCTGATCCTTCGTAATTGATATATAACTAACCAAGTTAATCCTTTTTCAATTATATTTAACTGCCATTATCTTTAAATGACAGTGTTTCACTGATATTTTCCTTACTATATATCTAACCAATATATTTTATTGATAGTATTTCACCGACAGATTCTTTATTGGTATTTGATGCTCGAATTACCCTTTATTGACAATGGTTGAAGTATGTCTTGACCCTTTGTAATTAATAAATAACTTACATACTGCTTTGATGGTTATATTCAACTTGCATTGTCCTTTCTAAAACGTAACTAATTTAATCCTTTTATAACGGTATTTTAATAGGTAGAACTTTTATCATTTTATAAAAAGAATACACATCAAAATGGATTTTATACACATCTAATGGTGTGTTCAAGATAGAATCGTTATATGACGTATTGTACATGACAAAAATGTAAATTATACATTGCATAAGACAATGTAGACTTAACAGAGACAAGTATTGGCACAAAACGAATTACACATGAATCATTATATAACAAAGACTTCACAAAGACATGTATTGGATGTACAAACTGTAACACAATCTTACGTTATGACAATTAAAACATATGGTTCATCATTAACATAGATATCGGACAACATTTTCAACGTGCAGATAGTGCAATCATTTGCTTTACACCTAATGTGATTTGTCCTATTAAGCAAACCAGTATCGTACTTCATTTCAAAATAAAAAGTACGTAAGCACAAATTAACATGAGGAAAAACTAAACTTACTTTCAAAACGTGATTAAATGCTGTTTGTACATCGTAATTTACGTTAATAAACCACACGTGCTTTCTAACTAAGTCACTTACATAAACGTTAAATCTAACATGATGTGATCTATTTCAAATCTTACGATGCAAGCTAAGAACCATCAACATTTTTTAATGAAACATTCTCATACGAAATCATCCATTAGCAAACAAGGCATTTGTCCTTATACATGGCTTCTGCTTGTGTATGAGTATACACGTTTCTCACAAAAAGTACGAGAGGCTAAAACCGGCGTCTTTTACTATCTGATATCATAACCTCTTTGCGATTCTAATGTGTATGAAATTAATATAAAATTAAAATGAAATTATTTATGTAATATCTATAATGGTAAGTTAAGATGGAAAGATGCCATCTCGTACCTGGCTACCAGTGGGCGCCTTATAAAAGGGTGTTCCTTATTTGGGAATTCTGACTGATGGGTCTCAACTTGCCGCGTGAAGTAGTGTTTCATCTGATGTTACGTTGTGAAGTTCATCGCAGTTTATATTGTAGTCAGTATTTCACGGTACACAGCAGATTAATGAATAAACTTTTGATATATAATAAGAGTACAGATCTGTCCACCATTTCTGGAGATAACATGCTTATAGGTGTATGTTCCAGTGTTGAATTAAAGATATATAAATGTATTGGTCTAAGTGATAATTCTTCATTTTCCCACCATTTGAATGGAGACATCATGCAATAACTTTGTTAAAGATCATAAGATAAGATATAGAATGTTCCCATATCGAAAGACCATGCTTGAGAATGAAAGAAACCATGCATTAAACGAAACGATTTTTTTGATGACTTTGTATCTAATATAAATACAGTTTAAACTTTTAAGATGATGTAATTAGAGAAAGGAAAATTAATTGACAATGATAATAATTTATACCGTTGAGTTTTCATTTAAAGTTTTCAAGAAGCACGCGGCGTAGATGTAATAATACATGCAAACCAACATCTTGAGGACACTAATCAAACTGAATACGAGCTAGGGCACACTTAATGATATTCCAATAGTATCGGTATAAAAAAGATTGTGTTCATGGCTGGATTAGGTAAAAGTTGTGCTGGCTTGCGTGTATATCTTACTCCCTGATATAGTAAGAATGAGAAATATGCAAGACAAATACCTGTGTATTTTTTTCTTAAAATTTGATAACAGTGTTTTGTTTCTCCAAATGAATTACTGTAAACAACTGTAATTAATTCTAAATTAATGTTTGATATAAGAAATGGCAAAAATAACATTTGACTTTTAAGTTATTTAATTTCCCCCTTTTTTAAGCCTGAAAAGAATGACAAACCAAAAGCTTAACAACAATTTGAAAATGATTGAAGTTTAGAAATGATACAAGTAAGTAAGTGAAAGAAGCAAATGTCAGTGTTTGACAGAGAAAGCCTATCAGATGGATGCTTGTGTGCAAAAAAGCCAAGATAGCTTTATAGGACGTCATGGATGACATCTGAGCTTGATGCGGTGCCGTACTACCTGGATGATGGTACTGCGACGACGGGCTAGAGAGTTCTGTTAGGGATGTATGCAGTTCTTGTGTTAATGAATATTATAAAAAGGAATAAAATAATATGTAATAATAAGCAAAAACTATGCATTCCTATCGAATCGTACTTTGTTACACACATGTATAGACTGTTTGGTTGATAGAGGGTATATTTAAATAAATAAATCAACATTGAAACAACAAAGCTGTTGCTTAACATTATAATGAAATAACTCAGATACTTATGACCTCAAAAACAAAGTGCAAAATATAAAAATAGTGGAATTCATCACTTTAGTGCAGTCCTGAAATAAAATCTTTGTTAATTTCTAACAATCAATGAATCCATGAATAAAAGGCTCTGACAACAACCTGAAATGACTGGACAACAACCTGAAAAGCAAATTTGCATGAAGGCTAGGAAAAAGCAACACAGTTACTGCTATAAAGTTGCTATCAATAATGATTATTGTTCTTCGAATTCTGTCTTTAAAATTCCTCATATAGTAAAGTCCACAATCAATATTGTTCAAAGTTGGTTTATTTGTTTGGAATGTTATAAAATAATTCTCTAATATGAATATGTTTATATGAATCATCTTTTGTCTAATGAACCTTGTCTGGATATGACTAAATCATTAAAAAAGTTCCTCATCTGGTATGAAAAACCATTTAATTTTAAGGTAAAACATATCATCATGTTCAAATATATTAAGTAACATTGCCAGCATTTTTTTGTTAAATTAATTTTATGCAAAATTTTTTCAATTAATTGATAAATTTGAGTATTTCAAAATAAAGATATTGAAAGACTGAGAAAAAGTACATGGGTCGCACTCGGGACCTATCCATTACCGATCCTACATTTAACCAATGTCCCTCTTCGCAAAGTATAAATGTGCCCCGTCAAAAACATTGACAAGTTTAATAGCTCTTAAGTGAGAAAAACTGTTTTGTTGCTTTATCTTCTGCAGAGAATAAAAATAAAAATCTTCACGACTGTAAATGGTTAAGTTTTACCTTTTACATTAACTGAAAAAGTCATATATATAAAATGAGTTTGTACTGCAAATCAACCATTTTTGTTAAGGATATATTTTCTGAATTGCGCATGAAACAATTTATACTGTTTTATATTTTAATTCAATTTCCCAATACATCTAAATTACGGAAGAATACACTTTTTATCCATTTAAATGAAAATGAGTATGGTGACTTAAATAACGAAAGGCTGAGCCACCAACACCAGTACACCAAGCTGTACATGCAGCATCGAAAATAACAACGATATTTACAAGGTAACCACACGCCAATACTCAGCTACATGTATGGAGGTCAGGAACAATAGAATTCCATCATAACAATAAGGAGGCCTTGCATTGATTTGGATTTTACCAACAAATCGTTAGAAAAGTACAGACAATTTTCTTTTGACCTTTATAAATTATTTTGACCTTTCGGCAGGCACAGCGCAATTATACTTGATAAACCATCTAGCGATGATACTTTACGGTGTATATATAAAGACCCGTATGTTAACATTCAATGACATGGTAGAGACATAAATAATGCTACGTTTGACATTTAATAATGACCTTGTTTTTTAGGTGAAGACAACAGCAATTATTGTCACAAAGACTAGTGTTGATGTACTTGTGATTAACCTTTCATTGAAGTATACAATTCTACCTGATTGATAACGATGTTATATCTGGGACAAGACAATGTAGATTTTTACGTTACTTCCTTTAATGGAAATGTTCTGTCCCACAGTCTTGTCAAAAATTCACAGCGCATGACAGTTTAACAAGATATATTAGGCGATAAAAACATGTCTGGGATATAAGAAAAACCAACTGTAGTATATACAGATATGTATTGAGTGTACATAGGGAAAATGATATTCCCCAGATATTTTCATAAAGTGCATAAAAATGAAAATGTCATAAAACATCCATCCGAGTAAAACTTTATAAATTAACTGTTGCACGAACATTATAGAGACATGTGCAGCACTATCTTCTCCAAGTATTTGTATGGAGGGACATAAAGATCACAGAAATTAATCCAGGAACTGTTAAAGAGATGGACATACGAAACGACCATGTGTTATAGTCTATTCTCGAAAATATTTCATGCCGGCATATTAAAAAAACAAAAATGACACACTGTGCACGTCTACTTAAAAATGTGATATATAAAGATAAAATGAAAAATAAACAAATTTGTTTTATTCCTACACCTCTCATTATTGTTTAATATATAAAGTTGATTAAATGATTTTTCTTTTGAAGATTTGTTATTATGTTAAAATGCATATTTAAAAGTAAACATTAATTTCATTAAAGAATGTATAAGAAATATATCAAAATAAAAATCATTGTGACAATGTCTAAACCCTCTAATCATATAATAATGATTATTACATGTTTACATTTTTGATTTTACATGTTCTATGTAAGCTGGATGGAAAAAGCGTTTGCAACATTATTAAAAGGCATTCAGGGACTATTTCTAAGGTTTCGTTTTGGTAAAACAAATAGGTAATATTGCAAGCAGACCTAAAATGCAATCTTAATTAATGAAAATGTTTTATTTTATTTATGTCTATCATAAGTTTTAAACATTCACGTTTCAGTGAAATCAATTAATTTGAGTCAAATTTATTTCCAATGAATTACATAGAGTTTCATATCTTTATACTTTATAATGAACATAAAATCTGCATGAAGCAGTGTTTTTAAAACTCCCTGTATGGAAATTGTTAACAACAATATGAAAAAAATAAAGGTTCTTCAAAAAAGCTTTGGAATCAAATATTTCTTAAATTACTGAAAGTGACTACAGTGACAATGATACAGCAAACAAAGGAATGAAAGGAAGCTACCAACAACATCAAGGGGTGCATGATTTACGTAAAAAAATATTCCAAAAATCCCGATTTGTGGACTTACTCTCCTTCGCTTCTTGTGATCATCTTGCTATAGAGAATAGATGAATATAATTCATTTATACGTGGAATGGAAAAAAACCCAATCCTGAAACTCAAATATTAATCTACAAATCAACGGAAATACATGTTCTCACCGGAAATACATGTTCTTACCGGTATAAAAAAATGGTTAATTGATAATAATTCCATATGCAATAAAACCGTCTTTAATGTTCAATATTACCTATCATACCTGTATCATTATGCTAGTTATACTGTAATTTACAGGGCAAATTTACAGAGTCAAAATTTTGAAATATGTTTTTATATATTTTTCTTCGAAGCCAATCAGCCAATTCAGGATGAAAAAAATATTTCAGATTATTGATTGTGAAATCACAGCACGAAAATGTATTTGATACCAACACATTTCAATTGAATGAAAAACTCAACACAATGTGGATAGACCAAAGAGCGTGTGAGAAGTTTTAGAGGTTGGAACAAAGGGAAAATAGGGGGTAGCATATTAGTACATTTCGTTTTTGTAAACTTACGCATATTATCATTACCTAATAATTGATAAGATTTTAATGTATGCTATATAACCATACATCATCATGATAAGATTAGAGACATTCGGATCCAAATTTAAAACAAAAGAAATTGCTATTCAATTTATCTTTACAGTTAAGTTTGGTTGTCATTATTTGTCTGAACAAATTCCGCAGAGGAGTGTGTACCGAATTGCAAAGGGTCGTGGCATAGATTCCAAATCAACAGTTTGTATAATATACATCTGTTCTTCACTTAAAAAAGAAGAGGAAGTAACCAAAAGGACATTTAATGTAAGGAAATTATATACCTGCATTTCAACAAACAATAGAAATAAGAAATGTTTTAGAACCAGACATTCAAACATTTTAAAAAGTAAATGAATGGGTAAAACTTATATAATAACACATATACAAAAGTGTGTATGGCATAAATGTGTAAAACGTGTTCTTATAGAATACCAACACTCCCAAATGTTTAGTATTTGTGGTAATTTAAAGCGCAAAGTAGCATTATGCGTCATGCCATCGCAACACTCTATTAATTGTTGAATATAATCTTATTTTACTGTATTGTAAAGAAATTAATTCTTATAAAACATCAACCATTAACAACACAAAAATAACAACACTGTGTATATAAAAACTAACTTCAATGCGAAAAAATCAAACCAAAAACTTACCAATCCGTATCTTGCCAGTTTGTACATGATGTTTTTGTATTCCCATTTGGCTTGTAATTCTCCAGGAATATTTTTTAACAAATCCGAGTACCTATTGAATGAAACAAAAA